GCGAGGAAAAACGCCCCCCCCCCCCCCCCCCCAGGTGATGGCTATGCCACAGGCCCCTCTCCTTCATTCTCCTCTTAGGATATTGGGCATCCATGCACATGTGCCTGTTTTTCCTTTTTGGGGTTTTTTTGGAGAGGTTTTTGCTATAGGGCCCATGCACTTGACAGACACAGAGAGACAGAAAGCAAGAAATCACCCCCTGGGAGGATGGCCACGCTGCAATCTCTTCTCCATTCTCCTCTCGGGATCTTGGGCACGCATGCACACGCGCCCGGCGTGAGTTTTAAGCCACCGGGTCTGGGACTCGAACTGCGGTCGACTACGTGGGAGTCCAACGACATAGCCATTACGCTAACTGCTGGTCCTGTTTTTCAAGCCCCTAGGACTCAGTCTTAAAACACGGAGTTGGTTGGGGCCAGCAAATGGTGTGGTGCTTGGGGGCGCTGGACTCCCACATGGCCGACCATGGTTCAAGTCTCGAACCTGGTGACTTGCTTTCTCACTACCTCTCTCTCTCTCTCTCTGTCTCTGATCAAACTGAAAAATAATAATGATATAATAATAAAGTTAACAAAATAATTCTTTAAAAAAAAAAAAAAAAAAAGGTTGGACCTCCCCCCTGGGGGGTGATTTCTCGCTTTCTGTCTCTCTGTCTGGTGAGCACATGCGCCCTATAGCGAAAACCTCTCAAAAACAAAAACAAAACACAGAGTTGGCTGTGTGTGATCTAGCTACCTTAACCACCATGCTACTGACTGGCCCCATTGTAATAAGTTTTTTTTTTTAAGAATTATTTAATTTTATTATTTTTTAGAGGTTTTCTTTAGGGCATGTGTGCTCACTGGATAGAGACAGTAAGAAGGTAAGTGAGAAATCACCCCTAGGGGGGATGGCCACATCACATTCCCTTCTTCATTCCCCTCCCAGGATCTTGGGCAAGCACGCACATGCACCTGACATGAATTTGAAGCCACTGGGTCTGGGACTTGAACTATTACATATAGTCAGTCATGTGGGAGTCCAGTGAAGTAACTGCTATGGCATCTACTGGCCCCTATTACTATTATTTTTAAATTTTTTTTATAGGGCACGTGTACTAACCAGAGAGAGAAGGAAAATGAAAAACCAAGCCACCAGGTCTAGGACTCAAACCGTGCTTAGCTATGTGGGAGTCCAACACGTTAACGATTACACCACCTGGACCAGAAACAGAGGCTACTTATTTTATTTTTTTTTTTTTTTGTAGAAGTTTTTGTCTTAGGGTTCTTGTGCTGGCCAAAGAGAGAAAGTCACCCCGCAGGAGGGACGATGGCCATGTAGCAATCCCTCCATTCTTCTGGGATCTTGAGCACACACATACTCAGTGTTTCAAGCCACTGGGTCCAGGACTTGAACTGCAGTTGTCCAGTGACAACTGCTATGATATCTGCTGGTCCCCATAGATTTTTTTTTTTTTTTGAGAGTTTTTGCTATAGGGCACATGCGCTCACCAGAGACAGAGAGACAAAATGAGAAATCACCCCCCGGGGGGATGGCCACACCGCAGTCCCTTCTCCATTCTCCTTTCAGGATCTTGGGTATGCCCATGCACACACGCCCAGTGTGAGTTTAAGCCTCCAGGTCTGGGACTTGAACTGCGGTTGGCTACATGGGAGCCCAGCAACATAGCCATTACGCCAATTGCTGGTCTTCATAGATTCCTAACTAGACATGTACAAAGAATAAAGTCAGGACCAACAGAAACAATCCCTTGGGGGGGACGTCTGCCTCTCCGGTGAGTGCACATCCCCTATGGCAAAATAATCTCTCTTAAAAAGTCAGAAAAAAATATTCCACACAGATAACCAAATTACGTTATCAGTGCTTGTATATGTATATATACATACATATACAAACACACATACATATGTATATAAATGGGCTATAATATACATGTTCAATTTTTTTTTCAGCCTGAACCAAAAATTTTGAGGGCAACAAAAATACAGTCCAGGTACAATACTAAACATTGAAATTTTGATTCTGGGAATCTGTTTCCTGCATCTTGTGGCTTAAATGGTGCTCAAGGGATAATGATTACCTTATAATTGTATAACCAGTTATACACTCAGAGCTCTCAAATACACACTATCTTGTTGGACCCCCACAGCGGACTGGAGGGGTAAGTCTTCCCCAGAGTACATTTGAACTGATCAGCAATTGACTTTCCTGACACTCCTGAAATCTAAAACCAATCTGTTCCTGTTTCTACCCTACTTTAAACTTTCTTGGGCCTAGAACACCGACCGGACAAAATCTAAGTTTCTATGCACACAGGCCTTTCGAACCATTGCCTCACTGTCAAGCCGCCTTTTCATCCCACCAGTACCAAACTGCATTAGTCTGCCTTCCCGGTTCTTGTTTTAACATATTTTGTCCCCTGGCAAACATGCACATATTTATAAAATAGCCTGTATCATAACTTAGCACTTTCTCTGCCTAATCCTTCTCATCACCTCAGGGAGAGAATGCTGGCAGTAACTAATTGAGTTTCACATCAGATTTACTTTTTTACCAGTTAGTTTAAATTGTTTTAAATAGTCGATCGCTCTCCACCGTTTGGCCTGTAAAGAGCATCAGAGTTACTTCTGTTATGGCGTTGTCTACGTTTGAGCATGCCTGGCTTTCCCACCAGGCTGGGAGTTAAAAGCCGGGGCAAGTGCCTTGTACCCCTACAGTGACTGGGAAACCCCGCCGCCTGAACCGCCATGTGGAAGGTGCATCAAGCGTCGTGCTCGCACGTCTACCGGGCAGGGACTAGAACCCAGATTGCTCGGTTCTTAACTGTGTCTCCAGCTGCTCCCAGGTGCCGCTCCTCGTTAAAGAAACTCGAGAATGGGCCAAGGAGGGTCCCCCGCTGCACTTAAGTTTTCGCGGCCCTCCCACTCGCCCAGGGCTGAAGGATGGGGAAGCTTGGGGAGAGGAAACGGCGGTTAGCCCCCAGACGTCCCTATCGGTGCCCCCGCCACCCCGTGCCCCTTCGCCCCCAGTCTGAGCGTCTGGCCGAGCCCTACCCTTCCGGGCGTTCCGTCTCGCTTTCGCTTTTACCTGCGACCCCGGGCCCGGGCCCCCTCCCACACCCGCAGGGCGCCCCTTCGCTACTTCACGTCCCCGCCAGCGGCGCCTGCGCACTGTCACAGTACGGCGGAACTAGTGCGGCGGCGCCTGCGCTCTGACGCGTTCCGTATTGGGGAAGGGGAAGGGGGGACTGCAGAATGCGTCACACCCGGAAGCGGAGAGCCGGAAGTGGGGTTGGACAGGTTATCCCCAGGGGTGGGGAAGCGGAGGCCCAGTAGTAGGGGGGAGAAAAGAAGGCCGACGATCCTGGCTACAACTCTGAATCCGATACCGATTCTCTCCGGCCTCAGAGACACAGAAAACGAGAAAGGGTGTCTCATCCCCCCTTCCCTCCTTCCTCTCCTCAGCTTTAGCCATGGCGGAGGCAGGAGCCGGGCTGAGTGAGACCGTCACTGAGACAACGGTTACCGTGACAACCGAGCCCGTGAGGAAGGCGGGGGGCGGGGGGGGGCGCTGTGTAGGGGTATAAGAGGTACGGGGGAAGGGACCAGCTTCCGAAGGCTGCGGAGGGGCCGGGCCGGGGATTCGGGAGGTGTGCGGCTCAGTAGCTGGGGCCGCGGGAAGCGCGGTGTCGGGCTGTTTGCAGAGACAGAGACGTGCTGGAGGTGGGTTAGGGGCCGTGTGATACGGACTTGCAGCGGGCTGTAAGTGCTGCTGTTTGGGTGGTGTGTCGGTAAGGACAGGGGGGCGTTAGCCGGGAGGGTGCTGGGAGGAAATCACGGACCGTGTAAGGAAGCCTAGGGGGTGGCCAGCTGTTGGAAAATTTGACAGAAAGCATCTATTTAACAATAAATAGTTGTTGAGTGGATGAATGTAAAAGGAAGTGCACAGAATGAGGAAACAAAAGGAGAGGAAGGTATTTAAAAAAAAATCAGAGGGGAGCTGTAAATGGAGAAACAAGTAGCATTTTTGCAAAACAGTTTAAGTTGCTTTCAAAGGGAGAAGGTTGCATAGGATAATAACCTCTGGAGTAAGGGTATTTAGTAATGCCAGTATGCCAGGAGCTAGGGAGATAAGAGATAGGGAGAGCTAGATTTGAGAATGAGAGAGATAAAAATGGAGGTCTTTCTTTTTAATGAAAAAAGTATAGAGGGACTGGAGACTGAGAAAATAACTCTCATGTAATACCATCAAGGATGACTTGAGGACGATGGAGAAAGAGTGAAGAGTATATTCCCCTCGGAAGATGTGCTGGGCCTTCCCTAGGTTAGGAATTGTGTCTTCTTTATACTAGTGTTTATCGAGGTCAGGCAATAATATGTATTCTTCGTGGGAGTCCCTGAGGTTTATCTCCTCTGGTGCTATGTCTGTCGCACCGATAGGGCTGGGAAAGGGAAGAGAGAAGGTCCTCCAGGGAGGGAGTGGGAAAAGTCAATAGAGGACTAGAAAAGTTTGTTCACCCCTCTTAACCTTCTAGGAGAACCGAAGCCTAACCATCAAACTTCGGAAACGGAAGCCAGAGAAAAAGGTGGAATGGACGAGTGACACTGTGGACAACGAACACATGGGGCGCCGCTCATCAAAATGTGAGTAATTGCTGACCCCCACTAGCCCTGGAATTCTGGCTCCCTTCTGCAGTTTCCACCTTCTCACATCCACTGGCCTCCCCGAAGCCCACAGATACTCACAACCCAGTTACTTTCCTAGGGCTTCTCTAACAGCAGGGAAAGGGGGTTCAGATTAAAGGGAAAG